ACAGTAAGTAGGGCTCATGTTACTTCCTGAAATTGTCTTTTTGTTTGTTGTATATTTATCCACGTTCTTCTGTTTCAAAATCTTGGGTAGAGTTTGTGTTGGGGGGTACACACATTGTCCTGTTTGTATTTTGCTGAGTTGTAGCTAGGATAAATAGATGACCTCACAGGTATTACAATTATATAGCAGCTGTTAAAATGATAGGTTGTTTAATGTTCATTTATGAATGGTTTCTAAAGCATACTTTGAAACCAATGCATTAGCAAATTAATTAGCCATTTCACTATAGTTTTTATAATCCTTAGCCATACAGGACTCTTTTAGAAAAGATGTAAATTACCCTCCAGTATGCAATAGTGAAGATGTTATGAATATAAAGTGTATGTATTTCTAAAAGAAAGTATGGTTGATAACAAATAGTAAGCTACAGCTGAAGTTTAACAGGGAGGGAAAATGTTAGATACATGTCATGATTTAGTCTATCATACCATATGTCATAGAAACTTCTGTGCTACTTACTTCTCATCAACATCTATAGAATAAATATTCTCAAATAAAGCATAAGTGTGGTAGAGAATGTTGATATCAACCTTATTCAGGGATTGTCTCTAATCAGACAATAGAATTGTAGCTAAAAGTCATTGGAACAGATTTAGGAATAGCCACAGCAAATCACAATAAAATCCAAATGATATCATGAATATGAGGGCATTATTTATTTGTTTGACCCACCTTTATTATTTTTATAAATAACTTATGGCATCAAACATATCCAATACACAAAAACCCTGTAAGGTGAGTTAAACTGAAAGAGAGCGTGTGATTGGTCCTAGGTCAGCCAGCCATCTTTCATGGCTAAGCGAGGACTAGAATTCAAAATCTCTTGGTTTCTAGCCTGGTGCCTTAACCGCTAGACTAAACTGGTTTTCACAAATTTATCATATGAATATTTGTATCTCAATGCACAATTCAAGTAAGTAAGACATGATATTTAAGCCCCTCTTTCCCTTTACTTGATGACCATGTACTGGTGAAGTGACAAAAGTACTATTTTCAGTAACCAAATACTTTCTGGAAAAGTCATTTTCTTAGCAGCAAATACATCTTCTGTGAAATAGGTTTATATTTACAAATAGGGCAGATAATACTATTCATTGCTCAATTCACTATATTGAACTTTGTGAACTTTTTTCATTGTAATGTATTCTATTTTATAGATAATGCTTAAATCAGCCAGTTATTCCAAATTTTGGCATTTTAATATAATGATTAGTTATATCAGCAGGACTGTGGATAGAAAACATCTGCTTGGAATCCAGATATAAATGGAGATATTTCTTATTGAAATATGCTGATGCTTTTAATTTAGCATTTGCAGCTATTGGATAATATCTGGATAGATTTAAGCACTTTTAACATTTGGCTTCAATAAATATAACTGTCATGGTTCCGATAGACAGAGACAAATAAAGCCGAACTCCGAGGCATGCAAGTTCCTCAAAGAACATGTTTACTGATACAAAGTATCAGCATGTCAAAAGTGAAACCATGTCTGAATAGACACGTAACAACCCCCAATACAAAGTTAAGAAATCCCACCCCTAAAGCTATGCAAGCTATTACTTTCCCCAATACATCTGCTTGGCGGGCTTTTCACAAAATGCCCAGCCTGCAGCCCCAGGAGCAGCCAATGACCTTGGTTCCCACGGGAAAAAAATCTGTTTAGTCTAGTGAAGCACCTGGTGAACCTCCCTCCCTCTGTGCTATGTGTCAACCGAAAATGAGTAGGGAAAATGGCTGCAGCCACGCTCATTTTCAAAGTTAACAATAACTTTAGAATATTACAATCAATCAAATCAGTGGATCTTAAATTATTATCTTGGTTGAATTGTTCTTAATTTTATTTTGCTTAGTATTTACAATGACCATCTGTAGCCATGATATATAAGTGTGCTATATTCTCTAAGCTAAATGAAAATGTAAGGTAAAAATTAATTTATCTGTAAAATGTAGAAAATTGCTTTATCTCAGAGAGAATTAATCATAATATTGCTGAAGATAAATAATTTCCATCTGCATAACCAGTTATCTTAAATAATATGGAATCTCTTTGAATTGGTATAATTTTGTGTGCTGCCAAGTTTTTACTGACAATATGTCAGCTTCAGGCAACACTGTATTACAATATACTTCTGAGTTTTGATGTTTGGCAGAGTATTATTTTAATCTAAAATTATCACTTTTAGAGTACAACTCACATTTTTTTAAAAAAATGTGGGATTTTGTCAAAAGAAGGCAAGGACTGGGCTACAGACATTTGGGTGAGCTATGGGGAAAGCACAAATTTAATTCCATAGGCTTCAGCATATGGATTCGCCCTGCCCATTGTGACTTTGCATTGAATGCTTCAAAAATGGGCTATTTTCTACATCACTGAAGCATTGTTGGAGCAAAACAATATTCCTACAATGGGTGCACAGATCATCCTAGATCCATTTCAAATTGTGCAGTTTGTTTTCAATTTATGATTCAAAATTTATGATTCAAAATTCAGATTGTCAGTAAAATCTATTTATTATAAAATTCAATTGGATAAAATTGTGAATGTCCATGCACAAAGTCCATTAAATCTTTTAATCAGTTTGAAGGCATCTGATTTGTTTTGTCTCATTGAATCATTAATCAGCTCATATCGAAATTTTGATTCAGTCAAAATTCCTTTGAACTGAAGTTTCAAGTCAAAGATTTGCACAGCCCTAATTCATATCCAGCTTTTGGTTCTTACTCTTACATTCTCAGTTTTTATTTCTTCTTAAACTTCATCGTTTCAGTTCTACTTTCATCCTGACTTCTGCTTTCATCCCAGCTGTTCCTTAGTTCTGGCTCTATCTTTACTTGCCCTCTGAGTCTTCACCTGGTATTTAATCCTGACTTATGAAAGACAGGCAAATCTATGACTTGCAGTTTTGCTTACTTTCTCATTTTCCAATTTATAAGTTCATCTTTATTTATGTCTGGATCAGTTTGCTTATCAACTAAACAAAATAGGGTTCAGTGATATTTTCATGTTCATTTTTGTCATATATGTGTGTGCTTGTGTCTCTGTGTGTTTCCCTATGTGTTTTTTTTTCTTTTTATAGTCTTTTTGCACAAATTTTACCCAGTATAAACATGTATATGTATACTTCTACATGCAGTATATCTATATGAATACATTCTCTGTCTCCCAATTTGACATGCATGTTTGGGAATTACCTCCAACAGAGACATAGATTGAGATCTTTGTAATTAGTGTCTCTCATCGTCATAATTCTGAATCACATATTGCTGACACAAATTTCATTTTTTCTTTTTGAATTCTCTTGTACCCTGATACTGACTTTACATTTCATATCTACATTACTTTTCTGGATCAGTGCAGTTTGAAGTATAGGGCCTTATACAATCTAGCAGATAATCCTTCACAAATATCATATTAACTGGCTAATTAGAGACTTGATGGCATTGTTTTCACAAAGAAAAGTATATCATATGCCATGTTAGCCTTCCTTTCCTAATGAAGAGACAAATATTCACCACCACAATGCAAACAAAACTCTGGTGGCTTCACTGTCTCATATTTTGCAATCAGCTTCTACATTCATGAACCACTTTTCTCAGTATTTCAGCAAATAAAAAAACAATTGTGTCTATTCAAATGCAGATGGCAAGCAGATTAATGATTTTTTTTTTAACAAAACACAGTCTGGTTGCCAAAGAATGCATTGGAATGCATTCAGCCAACTCCATAGTGCACAATTTAAGGATAATTGTGGAAAACAAAAGTGGCAGAGAAATTAAGGCTCCTGCAATCAGAGGGTTAGTATAAGGCTTGAGAGACTTAACTTTAAAATAGGAGAGGCAACACTTTAAGATCAAGTACTGAGTGTTTTTTAGGATTCTGAATATAGAACCATCGAATATGTCAGTCCCAATGATGGAAATCAAGGGTAAAATTATTACAATGGGAACAGGATACATGATTAGGGTAGGAAAATCTATTATTAAAGCTTATTATTCCTCAATAGCATTGCTCAATCATTCTGGAAAACATTGTGTTGCTTTAGAAAAGCTACAGATCTGTATGGGTCTAGCCTGGTCTTTTAATACACTCTTAACTGGAACACTAACTACTTGAAATGCAAAACAGATGGGCCAAAAGTGAGGCTTAAGTTATTTGTTTTGTAATAGCATGATATATCAATAGCAATAAGAGAATTCTAGCATCTGCTATCGTCTCACAATGTCTTCAGTGCAACACTCCCCCTCCCCCAGGATTTTTGGCTATTCACTGCTCCCAGTTTATGTAAGAGAAATCTGTAAAGTACAATCAAACTACTAGCCATGGACTGAATTCCTGAAGTGGTATGCTAATTTTTGTGAGGCGTGTCTTTCTCTATGTGTGTGTTTTAAAACAAGGGAATTTGGATTTGTGGCTGGAACAGGGACATTAAGATAAGGACTGAGCTTATAAACTTTCAAAGTTTATAAAATTTTTATAAAGTTTAGCTAATTTTAAAGTTTGGCTAATTTTTATAATTAAAAGTCTAACAACTTACGTTCTATTTTATGGCCAACATTTCAATTCCTCATTTTTCCTATGCTATTCATGTAAATTCACTCAAATTCCTTGTTATTTAAGAATGGCAAACTTCCAGTGTTCCAGATGTCAGTAAATTACAACACCCAGTATCACCAGCAAGAAATTGATGAGGGATGCTGAAACTTATAGCTTTGATCTGGAAGGCTATATTTTAGTGCCTCATTTTAAACAAATCTTTTTAAAAGACAATGATCTTTTGAAAGATTTTCCTTGTTTTTCAGTGGCTGTCTGTCTTCATTGCTTTTACTGATGCTGTTGTAGTTCTGCTTCTTGTCTCTTTGAACAGTCTGAAAGTCTGTTAAGTTCCTGGCTGATACAGTAGTCCCCTCCCCTCCCCTCTCTTCCCCTCCTTCGACCAGTCTGTACTGATATGCTGTTTGACAGTTTGTTTTCACATTCCTCTTTAAAAGCATCTTTATTTCCTCAGTTCTTTTGATTCTCCATTAATGAGGGTAAGTAATTCCTGGTGTTCTGTTTGTAAACTGAGTGGGAGTCATATGCCAGAAAGTAGTTGGCTTTGTTATTCCGTTTTAGTTTCACTTGCAAATGAGCAGTTTGTGATTTGTTCCACAGCCAGACCTGGTCATGGTTTTGCTGTTATTACTGAGCTGTTCTACTGCCCAGAGTCAGATGCCACATAAATTTGAGAGATAGAGAGGGGGGGGGAGAGGGAGAGAGAGATCTTAAATAATTAAACTGTTTTCTGTGTTCTCCATCTGGTGATTCCATGTATAGGCATTCTAATTATTTGAAAAACATGTTACTAATGATCAATTGGCAAAAACTGATAAGTACTTTTCTTTTCTGAGGCTGTAAATAGTCCAACTAACTTTTCTTCCTTAATATTTACAACCTTGCTATTCCAGAGTCCAACCATAAGTAACATACGTTGCTTCTATAATCCATTAATTTCAGATTGAATTGACCATAACCTCTTCTTTTTCCAGATTAGGGACTGGAGCATAAACTTGGATAGTCAGCATATTAAAGGAATGTTCACAAAGACAACTGTATATTACAATCATTGATTCCATTGTACTCAAGTACTGTCCTTGCTGTATCCTTCCTGATTATGAAATCAACATCATTTCTTCTTTGTTTTTCTGAGTAGTAAATGTGATTTTCTGAGCGAAAGTGTCTAATTCCACATTTCACTGATACCTAAGAATATCAAAGTTCAGTCAGTTCATTTAATCTTTCGCTGTGCTAATTTTCTCATGATTATGATTCTGTGCTCCATATTTTACAGCACTGGATTTTCTTTGTAGCTTTGGATTTTCTTTTATTGCATGGCAACATCATCAACTAGGTGAGAGGAAAGCTTTAATCTATCTGTGGCATAAACATCTGTAATATTCTGAAAGTTCTTCCTCAGTAGCATGTTGCCTGCCATCTGACCCAAGGGGCCCATCATCACATCATCAATCACTTTATCTTGTCCGTCCATGTGGTTTGCTTGATAAAATATCAGGAGTGTTTTACCATTGCTTTCTCCCACACAGTATGAAATTATACCAATGCTGTTATTTTCTGAGGCTGTAAATACATCATGAACTGAACTGCCTTTGTGTTGATGCTAAAGTGATCCTCTGCCTCCAGCATCTTCCTGTATCTGTTTCCCGACATAGGTGCTTGTTTGGTTTAACAGAGTAGCTGATATGATGTTCACACTTTGGTTTATACACATAGTCTCACAACATTCTTTGCTCGTTCCTTCCAGAAGCACAAACTTTCTCACCATTACCACTGCTTGCTAGGCTGAGGCAGTACAGCAGACATACTCAGGAAAGAAGGAAGGTAGGAACATAATATAATTTACCTTTGTCACTGTCGTTATGCATTTTGAATCCACTGTTCAATGTTTTAAGATAATGCTTAGTGCCTTAGTTGGAGGGAGAAGTCCAAGATCCCATGTTTTCTTTACCAGTTGTGAATCCTAGAACATGATTCTAAAATTTTGAAGAAAAATTAAATAATGTTATTGATTTTTGTTGTTTTTTTTATTGAAGTAATCAGTAAAATGGGTATATTAAGTCTATAATTTATCACACCTATTTGACTTTGGCCTTTTAATCCATCAAGCAAAACTTTCTGCATGCAGATTGTCCTGGAAATGAAGCACAATTACCAAAAATTCTTGCTTTTCCAAGTCCTAATTCTACATATGATTTGTTAAAGGGTTTAAACCTTTTTTTTTGGGGGGGGGGGGGGAAATCCAGAAGGCAGTCTACAGATAATATGTTCAAGTATAAAAATAGTATATTCAATAATTTCAAATATGCTTAGCTACTTGCCAGTATAGAAATGCAAGTAATAAAATTTTAATAAATAAGTACTGCAACTAAGAATTTAATTATTTCTGTAAAATAATGACATATGGTTCAATTTTAATTCCTAAATTAAGGAGCTTATTCTGAATGTTTCCATTAAGAAAGCTATTCCCTGAAAACACACCTGTTACACACCTTCATCATCCTCATTTAAAATATTTATTCTCAGTATTGTTTTTTACTATCTTGATGCACTTTGAAATTGTTCCTCTGGGATGTTGTGCTTCATCTGAGAATACATTCTTATGCATTCACTGAACACATGTCAGATCAAAGAGTCTTGTTTCCATCCAATATCTATCCAATCTGAATATTCAACTAGTGTTAGCAGCCTGTCATAGTTCATATCTTCACTTCAATAAGGTGAATATCAGTAATGGGTCAGGCTCTACTTTTAGTATGTGAAAACTAATTAAATAGAAATGAGGGTCAGTGCTGAATCCAATATGGCCCACAGTATGATCCCAGATCATATTATCATTAAAAAGGAACATGAAAATAAAACTTCATGCAAAAACATAGTAGATACAAAACTACAAAAAATATTCAACATATAAATTGAATAAATAAATGCCTACATATATCTTGATCTTGATCCTCTTACAAGTGGTATAGGTGACAAAACAAGAATTATGATGCAGACTCTGTTCCTTATGTAGTTTTGTGTGACACTGCAATACAACAATGAAATCTAAGAGTCTATCATTATGTCACAATGCACATATTTTCACTTAATGTCATCATGGCTAGAAACGGATATTTGTGAACTTTAGAAATGTATTAATTGCTATACAGCTCTTGATATACTACTCGCTAAGGAAAAAATAAAGATATAACATTTTAGATAATGATGTTCTATTTTATTCTATATCATATTGATATAGATAGATATTGTTGCTTTTTATTGTATGTTTGGCTATAGTTTGGCCATAGTTTAAAAGATAAGATGGCTCTTTGGCTTACAATGTTTATCTCTTCAGAACAGAGATAACGAACAACTTTAGGATACTATCATTTTCAAATGTGATTTAAGCCTAGCTCATCATGTATTAACTACTCAGCAAATATCAACCACCGTTACTTTTAAAAGATTTGGCTGTGGTTCTTAAAAATGAAAAAATATATATATTAACTCTATAAATTATTAGTTTTATTATTAGCTTGATTTTAGCAGACAACTAGACGATAAGATGGAAGAAAATAAAAAGATACTATTTGTTCTAGAATCTACTTACCAGTCTACCCAACAGTAATATTTAAAAGGTCAGTATCGCAATACAAGCATTTACTAACCTCATAATCTGTCTGAATGTATTTCACAAAGAGGCCAATTCCTTAAGGAGTCATCTCATAATCAACAAATAAAACCATTATGTTAAAGTCAGGTACATGTTCAGGCAACAGTGGACTCCTTTACCAATCTGTCTACAAGCAGGTCATGCTGCTGTTGTTATAATGATTATGCTGATAGAGACCAGCTGCTTGAGAGGCTTGTTGGGATTAACTGGTAGGAATAAATTAAAGATTGTTTCATCTTAAGTGTGCAGTAGGAACTTGGCAGATTCAGAAAAATCAATTTGTCAATGGAGATTTTTGTTAAATCAATTATGATGGAGGGAATGACAAATTCCACATATTTTTTAATAAAGAGAATAAATTATTATGAAAGTAACAATGTTACTTGTCTCTTAATCATTTCTTAGTGAGACAGTCAATGTGTTGCTTTGAAAGGACATTTCTACTGCATAACCTGAACAGCGGTTCATGCTGGCCTTGGCAATGACAGAAAGTAATCTGCGTTTATTATTTGTCAGCACCAGCTCACGTGCCCTATCACTTGATCAGAAGGAAGTGAATATCTTTTATAATTGCATAGAAATGTTCTGAGCCAAGAAAAGCTTGGGGAAAGACAATCTTATTCTTCAGCAGGAGTTTTCAGAAATGTTGATTTTAGGTAGAAAAAAATGGTTCTCCTATGAGCATCATTTTTTGGAAAAGGCAGATCTAGAGATAGGCAGCTTCTTAGATGGAGTTCATAGGTCAATGTTTAAAAGCAATTAACAGAAACATGTCATGATGTAACAAATCAATTTTATGAGAATTAATCTGTTACTCCTTTCATAACACACATTTAGACACTTCTTATATTGAGCTGGAGGTTCAACCATTTCCAGCAGAGATCTAAAACACATTAGCACAATTCCCTTACAGGTCTTGAAAGTTTACTTATTCAGTATGTTTTGATATTGGGACATTCTGGTAAATTCTTTGGTTTACATTTTTATGGTGGTTCATTGCATTTGGGAGAGAACTTTATGTGAATTTATATTGCTTTTAAGATCCCCCCCCCCAAAAAAAGTCTAATGAATACAAATAATTTATTCCAGAGAGAGACGGAGATAATGATGATGATGATGTTGAGGAGGATGAGGATGATATGATTTGTTCACCAAGTTGCTTATCTGCTTGAATATAAAGGGCAGAAGTATCATTTAAAATGTACCAGCAGATAGAGCCAGTTGAAACAAGTACAGTAAGCTCACTTTGAAGTACACTAACAGTATTATGTATTCTTCTGCATGCATATCTAAACCCTGCCTGAGTTCCAAATACTAGACTGAAAGAGTTCAGGAAATAAAACAAATGTTTGGCAGGATAAAGCTATGTTAGTAGAGAACACAATATATGTGGCTTGTTTTAAGGTTTGGTTGCAATGACTACCCTTTCCAAATAGATCAGTTGACGTATCATTCTCTAACGTGTCTTATTGCTTTGAAATTCTTGTTCTGCATATATATCATTTCCTAATATCTGATAGTAACATAGAGAAATCAAGATTCTGTTAATTTAAACTGAATAATTTGGTGCCTTGAGTTATAGAAGCTATAGACTTTATAACATCCTAAATCAACACATGACTTACCTATAGTTCTAGACTGCAACTTTCATTAAAGGAGCTAGCATGGTTAGAAATAAAGGAAGTTATATCCCCAACATCTTGATGAATCCATGCTGTAATGCACAAAACTACCTTAAATAAGCAGTGTTTTTATGGGTCCCATTTTAATTATTAAATTTATTAAATTTTGGATCTGCCATGCCCTGATTCACAAATATGTATTATACACTATACCGGATGATGTTAGGAAGGTCAAATGGAATAGTAAATTTTATATTTGAGAAGCAACATTCATCACTATATGTGGCAACCAATAAGTAAGTCTAAAATAGTTCCTATGATGAAACTAATAAGTATTTCTGGGAAAAGGAAATAGCTTTCTCTACAAAGTCAATTATGAGCTCTGAGATAATATGCCTTTTAAAGCTTGAGTGCTTTTCCTGAGTTTCTTCATTTAGTATCATAGCTGATTAAAAGATGGATAATTCAACAAAGTCTATTTTAAAAAATAATAAAGTCAAATGCATTTATGATTAATTTTGATCAAGATAATTATGATTTGCAAAAGTAAATTGATAACAGAATTTCAATTTATTACAGTCATTGTCTAGCAAACAAATGCAAAATAAGGAAGAAAAGACCAAAAATCTCTCCAAACCCAAATCCAACATCATAAGGAAATACTGTAGAGCACCAAGACTTATTTTTCAACATGAATTCCTTAACAAAGCTTCCCAGCATTATATGTTACTTTATGTTGTATTACATGTTACATAAAACACCTTGTCTGCGAGAAGAAAATAAACATAGAAGTCATTTCCACAGCCAAGGACTGATAACTGAACAGAAATAATTGGAAACCTGGACACCTTCCATTCCTTTCACAAATGTGACAACTAGTTCACCAAAATAAATATACAGTATGTGATGTCATCACACAAGCCTTTCCACAAATAAATATATATGCAGTTGCACTGGAATCATGCAGTGAACACAGAAGATACTGCAAAATACTCGATTTGTATATAGTAAAAGAATAGCAGTTTTCATTTAAATGTATTTCATTTAAACTATAACTATAGTAGAAGCAACCAGTTTTGCAAATGAATAAACCTCATGAGATTTGGGTATAGACAGCCCCTAGGTGTCAAATCAGAATTTAATAGAGCTCTAATTTAAGAAATACTAATATGGAAAAGTATTTTCATTTGCTGATTCTAGTGCCACATAATGCTTAGCTTGATAGAGTAACATGCATCATTTGTCTCAGTGACTGGAAGACTCTTAATCATCTACAGTAGGTTCTGCTGGTCTCAGAGTGGTGTTCAGTATCAAACACTATATTCCTCTAGACCAAGGGTGTCAAACTGCTGGCCCATGGGCCGGATGCATCACCAGGAAACTGCGACCACCCCATTGCTGGCAATGGGGAAAAAGCTCTGATAAGTCGCGTGACGTCACATGATGTTGTGAGTTTGACATGCCTGCTCTAGACTGCTTAATAAGAATAAGCATAGGAAGTATCATTTACAATGCTTTAAGTCCTTCTGTAGAGATTGGATACAGAAAATAATTCTGGAGAATAATAATTCTGGTTCAGTGTTTTGGACAATGGCTTATAGCTCTCTTTGGATGAGAGAGCTTGAATAAGCTTATGCTTATTTTCTCTTAAAAAAGAGAAAAAACCCTGTTTTGCTCCTCCCAAATTAGTTTAGAGTGGTATTTTCCTTTCTCTGAAACAAACAAAACTTTTGCTGCAGTACATAAAGAGTTTATCAAATGTCGGGCCCTAACTGGTATGTCATCAAAGGTATATTGCCTCCTAGAGTAGCTCTTGTTACATCTCTGCTGCATAAGCTGCATTGGTTGCCAGTTTGCTTCTGAATCATTCAAGGTCCTTTAAAGCCCTTCATAGCATAGGAACTGATTATCTGAGAGTGTTCTGGATCATGTAACCCTGACTAGAGCATGTAGATCTGTATGTTAGAATGTTTGGCATTTATTGGGTTAAGCACTGTCTCCTTAAGAGATGGCTTATGGGTAATGTAGGTTTAGGTGGTCAGCTATCTCATGTTAACAGGTCTGTGGGAGGAGTTATTGAGCTCTTTACAGGGTATCCTGGCTACGGGCCAGTTTGGAATGCCTTTGTCTGAGATAAGCATGGGATCACTGGAAGACTCAGATGGTCTCATTCCACATTAGAAGTTGATATGGAGGAAGTATTAATTTCTTACCTATAAGGATGAACAGATGTATAATATCCAGAAGCAACAACCATAAACTGTAAGTATTTCTAAATAAACTGTAAGTATTTCTAAATAAACTGTAAGTATTTCTAAATAAAATGTCTGTTTTATAATCATTCTTATTGAGTTATCTGTATGATCTGGAATTACAAAGCATCTTAACTCTGGATGAGAACAGAGAGACTGTCTCTCCTCAATATCATCAGTCCATACCCCACTACATCTGGTAGAACAGGCATGTTGCAGGTGCTTTCATTTGATGGGACCCAGGTAACATGCTTTCTCTGCTCTTTATAGACCATTCTTCCCCCTTAAATTAGACTAGCTTTATCCCTTTTGGTATTCTAGAAAACCTTCAAATCTGGGCTGTGTTGCCCTCTCATAAAGCCTATAATCAGTAGGATTTATAAGGCTACTAGTGTTCCTTCAGAGTCTCAAAAGAAAAAAGGTGAAATCACTATGCAGTTTGAAGCTACCATTCAGCATATTGCATATTCTAATGGTCTTAGTTTGGCCATTTCTGTGCAGGTGGCTTTTGTATCTTCATAGCATCACTAGTCTTGAAATGGTCTAAAGCCTGTCCTTATTACTATTAATTTTGCAAAATGGTGGTTGGATGACTGTACCTGACACTCTAAGTTAACTGGTGGGGAAATAATCTTTGGTATGTGACAAATCTGGTCAAGGAATATGGAACATGATAATTAACACTTGATAAACCATATAACTATATGAAGTTATTCTGTGATGTTTAAGTGGAGGGACTGTATTTCCTAAAACTGTAAAGTATTAAACTGAAGCAAAAGAATTTTGGTAGAAGTATTAGACTTGAATATGTGCCGTGTGTGTCGCTTGGTTGGTTCTTATTGTGTATAACATAAAACCAGTCTGCAAAGACCTTCCAATATCATGCTAGGTTCCTTTGGCATACATGGCATGATGAATGAAAGAAAAGAAAAATCTTTGGGGCCTGTTTTGCTTGAATGTAATCTGTTTTTCTTTTTACAATAATCTGTATATCTTTTTACAATCTTTTTGAAATAATATAGAAATCCAAAATATAATCAAACATCCTGAAAGAATGCTGCAGTTAAATTGATGATACTGAAATGTGATGTAGGCTTTTCTTTGTGCTGATTAAAGAGCTAAATAAGTGGAAGATGGGAGATTTTTGTTTTAAAAAAATAGAGCTAAAATGTCTTAAGGCTGCTGGTAATGGACCCAGTGATCTTTTTACAGTTGTTAA